CTTGCCATCTGATCCCGCGCCTATTCCGCGATTCAATGACGCGCTGTGTACAATCGTTCGTGAGCAGGTAAAAAGTTATATTGAGTCAAAAAGTCTTTTATTACTTTGCAAGACTCGCAATAATTACCGAAATGTTAATTAATAAAAATTCACGAATAAGTGCATAAAACAGCCCGGCGTTTCGCGCGCTTACGATTGTCAATTCTATGTCAACGGAATGGGAAGAACTAATATACAGGGTGTCCGACAATTACTTGACATGGGCATAACAACGTGACCGTGCAAAACATTGAGCTGTTATTTTGCTCGTAGATGTACGCTTATTCGCGAATTATTATTAATGAACATCTCGGTAATTATTGCGAATCTTGCAAAGTTGTATAGAACTTTTTCATTCAGTATAATCCCTTCTATTAGCCTCCAAGCGGTGATACGGTTATTACCGGACACTGCCTATATATGATAATTTTAAGGCAAAGCTTTACAACGCATTACTAAGATTAAATATTTTTTTAGCATTACCACAGAAATACCAACTACATTATTTCAACGCCGAAAGTAGTACTAAAATGATGGGCAGAAGAAATATAAACTTGTAAAACAGCTAAAATAATTTGATTTGAGCAGTATGATCTCTGTTATCAAAGTATATCTTATCTTTTGTGAAGATAGCAGAAGAAGACATCTTAAACTTCCACCAAAGTTACACAACTTAAACAGTTTTCTATATTAATATTAGTTTTTATGAAGGAGTACATATAATTTATTTGTTGTAAGAAAACGTTAAAATCAAATTATAGGTTTTTTTTTTAAATAGAGTTTTATTTTTTCAAGACATACATTGTGATATACATTAAGGACGTTGTAGCGCCCTTACGAAAAAGAACTACTGGCAATAATATATTGCGGCAGTGGTACGAAAAAATGATTGGCATTCTGTGTAATTGCCAGTAATATTCTCAGTGATTCCTGTAATATCTAATAATATTCTTATGTAATTGTCAGTAATATTTATATTACTGACTATTTATATGTAATCGGCAGTAGTTCTTTTTCGTAAGGGCGCGAATCGCATTTGACAAGAAAAAGTTGAAACTTTGGATATACGTTAATAACTGTAATTTTTACACGCTAGTCAAGTTTTAAACAGATTGACCGTTTCGAACTTGAGATAATTGGTTCCAAAGATTATATTTTTCCTATGTAGTGTATGCACGATTCATACAAAAATCGTGTACTTTTAAGTCTATAATAAGAAAGAATAACGAGAGTGACCAAAAACAGATATAAGGCAAAAGAAACCCTTACGAAAAAAAACTATTGCCGATTACATATAAATAAANTCAGTAATATAAATATTACTGACAATCACACAAGAATATTATTAGGTATTACAGGAATCACTGAGAATATTACTGGCAATTACACAGAATGCCAGTAATTCTTTTGTACCACTGCCGCAATATATTACTGCCAGTAATTCTTTTTCGTAAGGGAACCCTTAGGAACATTAGAACAAAAATCAAAATGATTGACGTTTAGTTTTAAAGATATAGATATAAAAAGATATAAAAAGAACTGAAATTTTCCTGTTATTTAACGTATGAGAGTGGATAGCGACGTTGCCAGATTGTCTCTGGACAATGTTTCATAGTGTGACGACGACGCGAAATTGGCTCAGTGGACCCTAAAAGGTTAGTTTATACGCCATTCTAAGACTTTACAAATCAATATGAAGAAAAATCAGGTATCCGGCGAGAAAGGTTCTCCGTATAATACCGAAAAAGTCCAAAAATAATAACTTTGTATCTACGCACATCCGACCGTTACAACGGCCACTTACACGCTATGTTTGTTTCATAGTGTGTGCATTGAAACCATAGACTTATATAATAGACGGAACATTCGTGTAAGAGGAGCTGCAGTTTCGTTAAAAGAGACAGACATAGTCGTGGAGTAGTTCTCTTCTTTTCTAGCAGTGAGTTGATTGGTGGCCGCGGCAGGCCGAGGGAGTGGCCGAGAGCAACAAAGATAAACATCCGAGAGTCAGTTGAGAGAGAGTGATAGTGAGAGGTGCTAGCGTGCTAGCATAGAGCTTATATACTCATGGAAAGGCCCTGCGAGCGCAAAGAGGATCGACAAAGAGAGATATATTTTTCTGTTTCAATTGTGGCCATTTCTTATAGAAGAGAATAACAGAGAACACGGAGTGGGGGAGCCACAGTTGAGACAAAATATATCCAAATATATCGGGTGACGTCCATTTGACCACGGTACAATTGGACACAGTACGATTGCACACGTAATATTGGACACGTACGATTAGACACGGTACGATTGACCACAGTACGATTGGACACCGCAAGAATAGCACACCGTACGATTCGACACGGTACGATTGACCACAGTACGATTAACCACATTCTATTTGAC